TAAACATGATTTTAACCTGTCCTCCTAAATCATATGTGGCATAACCTTATCTTTTAAGCCTCTATTACATTCCACTGAAAATATAACACTCTCCAAGAATAACTTGGCATTCCACTTATAAAATGCACCAAGGGCCCCAGGGAATAACAAAAGGTTATGCGCACAGGAAATAAGATGAGTCTTTTCTGACCCACATGCCCATCAACAAAGTGAAACCACTTTTGGCTTATTACTATTCTCCTAGTTTTTATAATAAACATAATGTATAGGTAATAACATTTTCAACTCTTTTTATAAAAGCATCCCAACATTTACCAACTCTCCCAAGGCAGAGACTTTAATTCGGAGGCATTCCCTGAGGGAGGATTTCCTTTGAGACAAGTACATGTAACATCCTCAAGTAAATCCTTGTCTCTAAAGACAAGGAAGAAGGGCAGAAATTTTTAAGGTATTACCATGTCATCTCAAGCATCTCAATAACATTCCTGTAGGCTCCTCTCCCTTTTTTCTAAACTAAGTAATAATCCCTGTGTTTATCATCTTTCAAAAAAGAAAACACATAACTTGTATAAAGCTTTCTGTGACCTTTTGTATCAAAGATCTCCTTTAAGAGAAGAGAAGCAGAAATCTTCATGAACAACTCCACTTCTTTTACATTCTCTACCTTCCTAGTATCTGCTTTAAATCCTGCCTGGCATCCTGTACCTATGGCTGCTGTCATTTGGGACAGGGATCCACAACTGAACATTTATACTTTCACTATCGCTTTCCTTTTAGAAGGGCATCAAACTGCAACCTGGTAACAATTCAACAGAGGCATCGAGAATTAAACAAGATTTTAAAAACTATCTTCTATTTTCTCTACTCCCACTCTGAAATTCATGTTTTACAAAGTTATGCTCCTAGCTGAATCAGGGAACAATATTCTTTCTTAGAATGTATCAATTTTCTTGATTGGTTGAGAAGACATGGAGTCTATAAGATACAAGAATAATGCTCTGCAGTCCCCTAACACCATTATACTTACTCCCCTTACATATTTCAGAAATCACCTGGCTGGTGCGGCTCAGTGGATTGAGTGTGGGCCTGTGAACCAAAGGGTTGCGAGTTCGACTCCCAATCTAGGGCACATGCTTGGGCTGCAGGCCAGGTCCCCAGTAGGGGGCACGCAAGAGGCAACCCCATCAAGAAACACTGATGTTGTTCTCCCTCTCTTTCTCCTTCCCATCCCTCCTCTCTAAAAATGAATAAAATCTTTAAAAAAATAAAAATCAAAAAAAAATCAGTCTATGTGGGGGAGCTTTGCCCACAGAGAGCCCCACCTCTCTCCCCCTGTTGATGACAATAAGTCTACCAAGACACAGTCTGCTTGGGGAGGAAAGGTAGCCGATCTCTCAAGGAAGGATCAGGAGCCTGTTCCTTAATGGGCTTTTATTGGATTAATTTGCATAGGAATACAGGGTGTATATGTAAGCCTCATCAATCATTGTCAGGAAGTAACGATCAAACAATAGGTAACATTCAAAGAACTCTGAAGGCCTATTCTGAGTCAGGGTCAGATAGCTAAAGGACCATAAAACTTTGGGGAACAAACTCACTTCATGGTTGGACTCTTTATCATTTAAACTGAGGGTATTAGCAAAGTGAGTTTCATAGGATTTTATGCATTCTTTTTTAGGCCTGATCACCCCAGGGAACCTGCTCTTTCCAGCACAGGGCCTACCCACCCCTGGCATTGTTTCAGGCTTAAGTCAGGTAGGGGGAGTAAGGCAGCCAAGTGATTAGGAGACTTCTCCTAGACAGAATGAAGACTCAGGCTATGTCAAAGCCAACGGGTGAGGGTCCATCACCCCCTTTTTCTGTAGCTTCCCCCCACCCCCACCGTGTCCTTCCCTGAGGTCCCCTTTCCAACCGTGACTGTCTTAGGTCGTTCCTCCTTTGAGGAATCTTACCCATCATTGGCTAACCAGTCATCCACTTGGGCCAAGCAGGGTAAAGTAAAAGGGGGCAGAGGCAGTGCCCCTGCCAGGGAGATAAAGCTTCATCTCCTTAGTGGCTTATGGTCCCAAAGTCTCTCACTCAGCCTTAGCCATGAGGGGTTACAATTTCTGAAACCAGGCAGGGCAGTTCCCAACAAGTCTATTTGGCATCCACATTCACCACTGCCGAAAAGTCAGAAAACATAGTTCATTTGGAATTTTTATCTTCCTTTATCTTACGGACTTCTGAAAGTAACCAGAATAAGGCTGGAGAAGGGGTATGTTCCTGGCCCAGGAGAAGACTGACTCATGAAGAACCAAGGAGGAATACCAGCAGCCCAGCTACAGCCACACATCAGCATCCCTCACAACCACATTTTTAAAGGATGCCCAACCACTGCTCAACTTACACCCCATCTCCTTGCCACACAAGATGCCTCAGAGAGTAGAAGAGATGCCTCAGAGAGCAGATCTTAGGCACTCTGTGAGTTCCATGTTATCATCAGTTGATCTGTACTATACTTAGAACCTGCAGAAGCCTGGAAAGGGAGGTAGCAACTAAAGGGATTAGTAACCCCTCAGATGCAAACAAATAACCTTTGGGCACACTAAGAACAAACCTGTACAGCTTTGTAAAGTACATTCTTAATGGAGCTCCAGAGGACACACTCAAGAAAATACTGAGGAGGCGAAACAGTTTGAGTTCACTTTCAGCCAGTAGCTCAAGAAAGCGAAGCCAGGGGTAACAAAAGCACACCAGCAATCTCACCCACTCCCCCCACCCACGTATACATACACTGACACAAAGAGAACCGAACTGCAATGCTCCTCTGGTCTCTCACCTCCAGGGTTTTCATGAAAAGATCAATGAGGAAGACAGAATATCCTAATGCCTTGGGGTATGTTAGGGTTGGCAATAAAGGGGTTAAGCAGCATCTCTTTCCTGGAAAAATGCAGTTTTCCTTCCTCCCTGTGTAGCATTTTTTTTAATTCAGCAAGTTAAGGGTTAAGACCAACACCTCAGAAAGAAAAAGAGAACTTGGTTCAGCTCCACCCTCTCTGAAGCAAATGCCAGCAACTCTGAGCCAAACCACTCAGCACATACAAGACTTCAGGGGCATTCCAAAAAACAGGTGAAACGAAGTCAAAGTGGTTTCCTCAGGTATCTCACCTTTTAGCACCACTCGCACTTAATAGATTTCACACATTTGTGAAACACACAAGTGTTACATCAAACAAAAGCACATACAGAATTCTATAAAGGACTTGAAAAATATTTACAAGTCACAGAGGTCACTATAAATCAGCAGGAATAGCTGGAATTGGGTGAGGAAGGTCAAACAGTACCCTTGGTAACAAAACCAAAACAAACAGATACAGGAACAGAAGGAGACTGAAGGCCCTAGACCTTATGGACTTCTCTGCCTGGAAGATCAATTCTTAACCTAAAGAAACACAGGGCAATGCCGCTTTAGTTACCATAGAGATGGGTCATCACTACCATCAACCCTACATTTCTGGGGACAAAGATGTACTGCCAGATCAAAACCGTTTCTGACAGCCTGTAAGTCACTGGAAAGGCCAGTCCAGAAGCACCTGCCTTGCTAGAAATCTGTAGGAAGAGACGAGTCGCTATTTTAATTCTGTTTAGTACTCTTCACATCTCAATCCTCTAGGTCCCAAAGCAACATTTTCTTCCTCATTCTATCACTTTATCAATTTTCTTCCCAAACTCGTGGAGTTGGGTCAGAATGCTAAGGGATGGGGGTATGAGAAAAGAGGAAGAGGAAAGAGAACCCATTTGGTTAGCAGAAAGAGATACTGAGGTGGGGGGCAGAACTACCTGGGAGAGGACTAAATAACCACAGTTACAACAAGCAAGTGATGATCAAGATGCCAAGACCCTTTCCCTCTCTTGGACAGTGTCCCATAACTTTCAAAGCTTTACAATAAAAAGCAAACAAATAGCTCCCTGGAGAGTGGAATAAAAAAGATTCAGTGTGAGCAAAGGTAATGAAATATGAGACAGTTACATGAGTATCAATATTCCTTCAGATTCCTATTGTAAGTAATGGGCACCTAAAGAAGCGACACTGGTCTACAGGTAGGAAGAGGGATGCCAGGAGGTGGGCACAGGTGGTGACAGAAGAGTTGAGATGGTTATCGTGGGAAATGTAAAGAATGCAATTCATTTACTCACAAACTTCTTGGACTTGCAGTCTAACCTCCTCCCCATGGGGGGAGGTTTATCATCATCCTACGTCAAGAAGGGCATAATCATGAGCAGTTTTAACTCCCTGAAAAGTGATAAGCAACAGGGTAAAGTGACGGGTTCTCTGGATTGAGAAATACTGGGAGGAAAAGTAACGTCATGCCAGTGACCATAGGACCTCGGCATGAACCCAGTCCGGCAAGGGCAAGGACAAACGTCCAAGGGAGGAGGGAAGGTAGGGCCCCAGCCAGGTAACATTCCTGAGAGGAAGGATTATTAGGTGACACCGGGCTGAGGGCCCAGAAAGAGGGTTGGGCAGTAGGAAAGTTAGCAGGTGAAAGCGATCAATCTTGGAGAAGGAAATGACCTTTAGGAGAAGCAAATAAAATACCAAAAAGCGAGGTAAGGGTAACAGGAGAAAATGGACTCAGAAAAGCACAGAGGACCGAGAGAGAGGAGGCGTGTTCGGGTAAGAGAGGAAGAAGAAAGGAAGTGGGGCTGAGAGGAAAGAGATGGGGTTGAGACCCGCCCGGGCTATGGGGGCGAAGGGCAGGGCGCGCGGGCTGGGGGTTGAAGAAAGCTCCGAGGTTGCTGGGACAGGCGCCGGGTGGGACGCCGGGCTCCCCCAGGTCCTGGAGGGGTAGGAGGTCGCGCTGTGGAGCCCAAGACCCAACAAAACGAGGGAGGGAGGCGCGGGGGAGGCTCCCTAGAGACAGGCGTGCATCTCTGGGGCCGACTGCGGGGATCTCCGGGGTCCAGAGAACGGTAACCGGGCCGGGCTGAGGGAACCGGGTGGAAAGGACACTCACAAATTTCTTGGATTTGCCGCCGTCGCCGCCCGCCGGCGGCAGCTCGTCCGGGCTCCGGCCCTTCTTCTTGTCCCGGGCCCCGCGGCCGGGTCCCAGACCCCCACCCGGCGGCTCCATGTGTGGCTTCGCGCAGACTGGTGACCCCGCGCCTACACTGCTCCCGCCCGGCTGATCCCAGCCCGCAGCCGCTGCCGCCGCCGCCGCCGCCACCCAGCAGCTACTTAGCCCGCCGCCGCGCCCCGCCTCATTAGCATGCCGGGCTGCGCGCGCCTCATGAATATACAACGGTGACGCCTTGCTCCCGCCCTCTTGCCCCACTTCCGCCCGGATCTGCAGCCCCTACCAATGAATGAAAGGAGGGGGGTGGAGGGAAGCCGCGGAAGCGCGCTACCTGCCCTTCGGACCTAACCATTCAGACTCACGTGGGGGGCGGAGAGTGACGAGTAGGCGGTGCAGCCTCTGCTTGGCCTCAACCACGAAAAGCGCCCCCTGGCAGTGAAAGCCGCGCAGGCCTCCCCACTCCCAGGCAGTGCCCACGTGGCCATAAAGCCTGGACTCTTGTACCCTAGACCAGATGGTATCTGAACCAAAAATTGCAAGAGAGAATTATCTTGGCAAAAAATGTACTACTGCTGGGCGTTCAAAGATAATACAGTTTTCATGTGTGCAGTATCCATGGAGCATGTGGAAAGAACAAAAAAAGTGACAGCTATCCTTTATTAAAAGCTGTGTGCCAAGAACAGAGCTTGGTAGAGCAAGTACTATGTGGAACTTGACAATCTCTGGAGTTAAGATTACCTAGCTTTATTTTGTCTTTTTGTGCATCCATCTTTGTAGAGTTTTTTTATTCAGATACAAATCAAATATAATGTCTCCCCTTTCTTACACAAAGGGTATTGGTGTTCTGCAGCGCTCATACCTGGACAACTTTCTGCATAAGCATTTCTTTCATACCTTCTTGCAGCCGGATGTCCAGCTGTCCTGGTCCCTGACTGTGGCATTTTGGGCAACACCTGCACCTGCCTGGGTCAAGCTTCAGCAGGGACGTGGGGCTTTGAGTCCATAACACTCTCTGGAAGGGCCTTTTTACTGCTGCCAGACTTCCCAGACTTCTTTTCTGCTTGGCAGCCTCCTTCCCTGCTCCTGACCCCTAGATAGCACCACACAGCACAGTGTTTGGTAGAAGTGGCCAAGGGGCTTTCAACTGAGTCCTGGGAGCGTCCAGGAAAAGAGAAAGGCCAGACACACTGAGGGGAAGGAACTGCTACTGGCCATATGAGGTCCCCCCAAATTCACCTGTTCAAGTTCCATCACCTTTAAATGTACAAAAGGAGTTTAAAGAGATGATTGGATTAAAATGAGGTCAAAAGGATGAACCCTAGTCCAATCTATCTGGTGTCCTTATAAAAAGAGGAAGAATCACCCTGGCTGCTGTAGCTCAGTGGATTGAGCGCCAGCCTGTGAACTGGAAGGCTGCCAGTTTGATTCCTTGTCAGGGCACATAGCTGGGTTGCAGGCCAGATGCTTGGTTGGGGGCATGTGAAAGGCAACCAATGTATCTCTGGTACATTGATGTTTCTCTCCCTCTCTTTCTCCCTTCGCTACCCTCTCTCTAAAAGTAAATAAAACCTTTTAAAAAAAGAAGAGGAAGAGTCATCAGGGGTGTGTATGAACAGAGAGGAATGACTACTGAGAACACACTGAGAAGGCTGCCAACTACAACTCAAGGAGCGAGGTCTTAGAAGTAATCAATGCTGCCAACACCTTGACCTTGGTCTTCCAGCCTCTAGGACAGTGAGAAAAAATTTTACTGTTGTTTAAGCCATGCAGCCTGTGGTATTTTGTTACAGCAGTCCTAGCAATAAATATGGAAACCACCTTGAAGAATGTCCCCAGAGCAACAATAAATGGCCAGGCAACACAGAGATGCCACCTGGCACAGTTAGGTGCTCCTAGCAGTATATCAGTGGCCCACTGATGCCCACCGGGTGGGACTAGCTGCATCTGAACACAGGCACTTCACCACCTGGGAAAGTGGAGACCAAAGATCAGACTTCAACAGTGGGTTCTGGCGCGACCACAAACACATCAAGAAGGGTGAGCAGTCTCCCATCCACAGGACCTGCACAGGGTACCAGACACCAGTGAGGTCAGCCACACCACAGCAGGGTCCATGGGATCCTGCAGTGAGGAGCCCCACCCTCTGCCACAAAGCTACCTGAGCATCCTCTGCCCCCAGATAGATTACCTACTTTTGAATCCCAGGTCTGCTACTTCCTAGTTGTGTTTCTAACACAGGAAAACTAGTTCCTGCCAATGTGTGCCTAAACAGTAATAAGTCACCATTTACAACACACTTGCACTACGCCAGGGACTATATAAAACATTCTACGTGTATTTCCTCGCTGAATCCTCACAATGCCATGTCAGTTTCCAGGAAATTTGGACTTTGAGAGTTGAAGTGATTTGCCCAAGGACACATAATTGATAAAAAATTTAAAACCAAGTTAATCTAACTGCCAAGTCCCGTGTTTCACCAGGATTCCGTACTGACATAAACCAAACCTGAGTGAAAAGAATAGGTGTTATCCAAGATTATGTTCTTTGCTCTACTGGTTTGATTTCTCTCTCAGTACTTTAATTCTCCCAGCTACAACTGTTCCTTGAGGGAAAAGTATGTGGCACCCAGTGGGCCGTCAAGGTATGGACTGAATCACCTAGCCCGGAGCTGGCAACTTATGTTCCTGGAGGGAAGATTCAGTGACTCACTCCCTCTGTAGCCCCTACTGTGCTCAGTCTAGGGCTTGGGAAGATTACAGGAATGCTGCCAACCTGTCTGGCTCCTAAATCCAGCCTTCATCTCTGAGCTCCACTTTCTAATTGGCTGAAGGAAAGTTGCATAGAGCTGTCCAGTGCACACTTTAAACTCAAATTTGTCCAAAATGGTTTGAAAGCTGCATGCTTTATAAGCTAATGAATCAGGGTCAAAACACAGAAAAGTGATCTATTCGTTACTCTTCTTTTCTTGTACCACCATCTACACCTGCTATAGCATTTACCTCGCCCCTTACTGCATTATAACCCGCTTCAGGGAAGGGCCTGTGTTTGCAGCTGCTGGCATCGTTCTACACGTAGACAGTTAAGATAATGGGAAACAACTTATGTCAGGCACTGTCCTAAGTAAGCACTTGACATGTTTTCTCCCATGCATCTTCACCAACTTGCATCACCATTCCAAACACACAGGTTAAAAAATCTGAAGTTGTCTTCTATTCCCTCTCTTAAACTAATAATCTGTCCAGGGTTGTCTAGCTCAGGGATCCCCAGCCCCCAGGCCACAGATCGGTACCAGTCCCTGGCCAGTCAGGAACTGGGTGGCAGTGAAGCTGGCCTGAGCACCCCCTCTTCCTCCCCCAACCTGGCCCTGTGGGAAAAATGGTCCCTGGTGCCTAAAAGGTTGGAGACTGCTGGTCTAACTCTTAACCAGAATGCTCTATTAACTGCCTATAATATGAGCAAGATAATCCATGTACGGTACATACCTAGGGCCTAACATATGGTAAGTGCTAAGTGAATATCAACTGTGATTTTCATTACATACATCATCACTCCCATTCCCTCTCCCTTTACACATACGTAGCTAGCAAAAATTAAGACTGCCCAGAAAGGCAAAAGGTACAAAAAATACCAACTTGGTTTATTGGATAAAAACAGTGGTAAAATGGACATAAACCCAAAAGTCAGAACAGGACATTTTCACATCCTCCCCCAACTCAAAAAACGTTCTTCCTGTCATTTGGGGCTAAGGTATTTGGGAACCAAAGCCCCCTAAAATCCCTCACTTTTCATTTGCACTGGAAGCAAGGCCTATGTAGGAGAGCCCAGGAGAGACAGAAGTCAGAGGTGATCTCAGTCCTGATTACTCATTCACCCCTAAAACTCTCAGGGTTGGAGGGAAGTCGGTAAGGAGTAAGGGGCCAGAGGAGCAGGGACTGCCATCTAGGGCCCACTGCCCAAGATGTTCTAGAGATAGCTATCTTTGTCCCCATCCAATCTCAAGTAGGTACCATTGTCAGGCCTTGGGAGGGAGAAGAAAGAGGATACTTGGTTTAAGAATAAGATGTGACCTCCAAATAGTCCCCCAGTATTGGTAAAACCAGTGAAGGTAACCACTTCAGAGCTGGGGGACCCACACCTTTTCCCTCCCACCCAATCAAGAGGTAAAAAGCAATTCCTTGGCGCACAGCAAGCCCAGCTGCTCTTAAATCTCCACATCGCTTTCCTTGTCGTTGTCATGGTCTCCATCATAGAACTCATTGGGTGCCTCTGGCCTGCAAAGCAAGGGGAGAGAGGTGAGGGCCCACACTCCGAGCTCCAATACTTTCCCACAAAGACATCGTCTCTGGAGCCACTTGGCAGGCCCCTTTGTCAGGGAACCACCCCTCCCCTTGTGTTGGTACAGAATGACTGCTAGTCATTCCTCCACTCACGCAGAGTCAGTGAACATTTATTGAGACTGCTCTGTGCTAGACACTGTCACAAGCCTCAGCAATACAGTAGGGAATGAGCCAGACAAAATTTCTGACAGTCCTCAAAAACTTACCTAATAAATGAAAGTGACAATAACTGACAAAGCAAATAAACAAATATGATAACTTCAGATGATGGAGAGTGCTAGGAATATTTTAAAAAGAAAGAAAGGGAGGTGTGACTGAGAGTGATGGAGGAAAAAGATAAAATTTCAGACAGGATTATTAGAAAAGGCTGTTCTAAGAAAGTAAGACTTGAAGTCTGACAAGGAACTAGCCAGCCAAAGACCTCAAGAAGACCTTTCGGAGCTGTAAAACAAACACACAAACAAAAAACCAAGTACCAAAGTGGTAAGGTAGAAGGAGACTGATGTGTTTCAGCAAGAGCAAGCAGACCAAGATGGCTGGGAGGAGTGTGCATGGAGGACAATTAGTTAAAAGATGAGACCAGGGACGTGGGTAAGGGCCAGCATGCAGGACCATTTAAAATCATGGTCAGAAATCTGGGTTTTCTTCTGAGTGCAATGGACAGGAGAGTTTTAAGCAGAAGAGTGGCATGGTATTATAAACCTGTAGTGAGAGAAGGGATGTGAAAGCAACATAGGCCCAGTAAATACTCAATAGTAGTTTATTTCTTTTTGAAAATTATTCTCTAGGAGAATAGGAATAACTGATAACTGAATTATCTTGCTCACAGCTGGTAATTAAGAAGAGAGAAAGTCACCAAAGAGG